GGGTTCGAGCTCGGGAACAAGGTTGCGCAGGTGAGAACATCGATCATCAATGGAGATGTTCCACTTCTCCTTTCAAAGGGTGTGCTGAGTAGACTTGGCATGATCTACGATGTCGAGCTCGGCCGTGCTGACTTCACAAAGGTAGGACTGCGTGGTTTTGAGTTGCAGGTGACGACTTCAGGTCACCCCGCTCTTGCCATATTGTACCTGCCAAGGTTGCAGAGGATGTCTCAAATGGCCTTCAGGCTGAAGATTTGCGACTTTCGCCGCGAGAGCAATACACTGTGTATGCCGTAGCACATGGTAGCTTCAAGACTCCGTCTACTTTCAACTTCTTCTTTGACAAGAAGCTAGACCCAGGGGCTCGAGACATGCTATGTCAAGAACACCTTCATCAAGAAGCATTCTTAGCATGGTGGAAGAGTACTGGAACTACGTCCGATTTCTGGTTAGAGTCCCCCGAGGCCTGGATAAGAGTCCACATGACCCCCAGAAAGATCCTCTTTAATCCTTCCGTTTGGCAGACCCGGGCTACCCTCCAGAAAGAGATGCTGCTTCAGACTGCAGGCGAGGTTAGGATCACTGAGGGCGTTTGCTGTGCAACAGGTAGACGGCTTGAGCCGATCGTTGACCGTTGGAAGAGCGGAAACACCAGTGAACATGCTTTCGGTTTTCTTTGGGCTGGAAGAACTTGGATTAGCAAGCGCTATAGCCCTCGCGACCTCCTTTGCACCCCCGACCATGGAACAAGGACCATGTCAGCCACGACCGCGGACGATCAGCCAGATGTCCAAGGCGGAGCTCCTCAGCCAGGCTACGCGACTTGGACTCGTGGTCCACCGGACCTGGGCGGTGGAGGAGATCAAGGCAGTGATCATGGAACACAGGGAGAGCCTGAAAGAGAAGGACCCCGTGGAACAGATGCGGAGAGTGACACACATGACTTTGTCACAGTTGGAGGCGAAGGCGACCGACTTGGGCATCGATTTTCCAACGGGGACGACAAAAGGCAACCTCATGCGCCTGATCCGCGACAGCATCAACACTCCCGATCAAGAACTGATGAAGATAGGGAAAATTTCGAGGATTTCAGTTTGTGGAAATCCCCGAGAGCTACTGCGAGTGGGTGGCGCGAGAGCTGACTGTCTCGAGGAGCCCGGACCCAGAGTTGGTCCGCCTGCGCAACTGGTACCAGCTTCGCAAGCAGAGGCTTTCGGAAGGGTGCGCCACCACCCCGACAACACCTCCGTACCCGAGCGGGTCGACCTCAGTGGCGAACGCAGAGCCGGCATCCACGACACGATCTTTGAGGAGCACGAGCCCGGTTTCGAGCGCTACGGCAAGATCGTCGGACTGGGGAGTGGTGAGCGACAGGAGCTCAAGGACGAGGCGCCGGGGACATCAGGACACGATCGAGGAAAAGGAGATGGAGGCGGATGTCGACCCGAAGACCGCAGCGGAGATCGCGGAGCTGGAGATGCGCCTGGCAGTCCTGAAAGACAAGGCCACTGGGAGGGGCAAGTGAGCGAGCAGAGCGAGTCCGAGGTGGACGGCTTGGGGGGCGACACCTCGGAAGGCGACTCCTATGACGCCTCCCGATTTTGTGATCCCAATTTGGGTGATACCAGCAGCCGAGGTGGAAGCCACGACCGTAAGTGTTGCGGAACTGCCGAGGCAGTTCTGACGATCTCCGAACGGGAGTTTGTCCAATCCTTTTCCTGCAAGCACGAGGTCTTTGCCGTCGAGCAGGGCTTCGACTCAGCCAGCGATGGCGTCCACTTCTACGACATCGAGGACGAGACCTCCGAGCACCATGACGAGCCCGACCACCTGGACGGGCACCTCCTGTACGAGTGCCGCGACCTCACTCTTGATGATGAGGTCACCTTCTTCTATGACAGCGGCGACTTCTCCTTTGCGACCCTCCTCGACCTCTTGGAAAAGCACCAGGCCAAGCTGCAGAAGCACGGCACCAAGAGGACGAATGTCATAGACCCCGGCACTGAGGTCTACTGCCCCTTTGGCGCGTTCGTCCTCGGGGGCGTGAAGGGGGTGACCAAGGCCACCACCGAGAACACTGCACTGGTGCGTTACCTCAACGCGTTTGCGAAGGCCCATGTCGGGCCAGAAGCTACATGGAGCTCCATCATCATTATGAAGGGTGTGCACTCGAAAGTACACCACGACTTCCACAACCTCACCGGCTCCTGGAATTACTGCGCAGGGCAAAGGAGGCGACCTGTGGGTGGCTACCCCCGACATCACCGACCAGGACGCGCTGGACCAATGGATGGCTACCCGGGCGAGCCACACCCAGCGAAGAGACCTTTGTCAAGTTCGACCCTGCCGGGAAGCATGCCGTACTACCTGGATATGAGGCTGGGTGGCACTTGGTGTGTTACACTACGCGGAGTGCCACCGAGCTGGACAACAACCGCACTAAGTTCCTGAAGAACTGCGGGTTCCCCATGCCGAAGCCCGGTTCCGGGAAGAATAAAGGGAGCAGCCGCAGACCCCGCAAGGCCATCCGGCCCAGACACAGCCCATCCACGACCCCATTGTCATGTTCGAGATAGGCGGCCTGGACGGAACCGTGGAGGCGACCGACCTCGGGAAGGCCGTCATGGAACCCATGAGCTGGGAGGAGTATTCTGATCCCGACTATGTCGAGAAGGCGTTCCACACGGTGCGCGGAGCAACCCCCCGAGAACTACGACTGCACCTCCACAAGGCGCCCGACAGTGTCAAGGAGGACCTCAAAGGACTTGTGTGGGAACAACTGGAGACCGGCGAGACTGTGGTCGTGCAGGGCGACTGTCCGAACGACTTCATCGAAGACCTCCACGACTACCTCATCTACCAGAGCGCGCAAGGCGACGAAGGCTGGACAGTCCTGGCCAAGCCAAAGGGGCGGAACAGTTCGTCCCTGGAGACCTTGTACCACATCAAGTCTGCGTGGTCGAGAATGAGGGAGCCGGCGCTCCACTGCCTTATGAACGACCTCTTTGATGGAAGTGGGATAAAGTTTGA